AGAAGTGACGGACAAACACGCCTTAAGTTGTTTTAAACAACTTGCAACAAGTTGCAAACTACAGATGTCTTTTTAAAAGAATGCAAATCATTTAAAGTGAAAGGGAATAAATTCAGTTCTTTGTTCATTTTTAAAGAAGAATTGGTGTTGAGGAAGAAAGTTGGCAATGTACTAACTAACTAAGGATTTATGTATATTTTAAAAATTTTGCTAACAAGTCAGTCTGTTAGTCTCCTTCAGTCTGGAGAATTTATTGCTTCTCTGTTCACGTAAAGTACCTTATCATTCTTCATACAAAAGTAAAATATGAATGAAAAACACAGAGGCAGAAGCTTTTGTGAGTATCCGAGGGAGCTGTGTTTGCTCCCCAAGGGTGTAGGCTTCTGAATTTGTAGATGAGCAAAATATGCCAGAGTCTCAAGGACTAGCCCTTCTCAGGAAGAGTTAGAGCTAACTTTTCACATAAAGCCTGGAGCCTTTGCATTCTTTCCTCTTTTATTCTCAGCTGCACTTCCTTCCTTATGACAGCTCCCTTAGAAGCCATGTGATGCTATAAGCTTCTGAACTGGCTTTAGGCATGTTCAGGCTTCAAAAAACAAAACAAAACAAGGAAAAAGACCCACAAAAAATACTTGTTTCATGGACAGAATTTGAAAGATATGTTGAAATCTAGGTTTTTAAGAGATTTAATTCAAAGTTATGACTGTCGCTCTCTGCAAGCTGCGGGACACCAACTGTTAGTGAAAACTATTTGTTGGCATCGCATTTTTTCAGCCTCCTACTGTACCTCTGCAGACAGGAAAATGCAAAACTATTGCGAAATATAGAAGAGAGGGGGAAGAAACTGAATCCCCATGTTATATCAGAAGATTTGGTAACAATCCTGGCGATGGAGCATGGGTAAATGGTAACTCCGTCTATTGCAGGAACAGGTACAGCAACAACACAGTCTGCAAAGAAGTGTCAGCTCCAGAATGTCCGTGTTCATTCAGTGCCCTCTAGTTGAAGTTACTCAGTTTTCGAACAGATCATTTCTAGTTCAATGTTGTAACAGAAAATACAGGCGTTGCAGGATGGTTTATGCTTGCAGTAAAATACTTTCTAGGCTTTCTGAGGGAAAATTGAGTACTGCTTTTTAAGTAACTAAAAGCTATGGTGAGAACCCTAATTGCAACGTTAACTTAAATTATCATCAAATTATTTGTATTATTTTTACAGGGTTTTAATAGAATCATTTCATGTGTAACTCGGGAAAAAAAAAAAAAAGAAAAAGGATGTTTTTCTAAAACTAGAGACAAACCATTTTTTCCTTACTTTGCCCAAAAAGACTTAAATAAAAAATGCAGTCTACTGAGTAGTTTTGGCCCATTTTTGTGTCGCTTGACCTAATCATTTTCCATCTCTCCTATCACAGAATYACAGAATATTCAAGGTTGGAAGGGACCTCTGCAGATCATCTAGTCCAACCTTCCTGCTCAAGCAGGCACACCTACAGCATGTGGCACAGGGTGGCATCCAGG